GCACGGCTATGGCGCCCAGGTAAGTACCGCCTCCGCACCTCTTCTTCTTCTTCTTCTTCTTCTTCTTCATCTTCTTCTTGCTGTTGTTGTGCACGTCGCCAGCATGGAGCACGAGTATGGCTCCCAGGTAAGTACCGCTGACGCAGGTATGGCCTCCGCCCCTCGTCTTCTTCTTCCTCTTCGTCTTGTTGTTGTTGTTGTTGTTGTTGTGGTTGTTGTTGTTATCATTGTTGTTGCTGTTGTTGCTGTTGTTGTTGTTGTTGTTCTGCAGGTCGCCTGCGTGGACACGGCTATGGCGCCCACGTAGCTACCGATGACGCAGGTATGGCCTCCGCCCCTCTTTTTCTTCTTCTTCTTCTTCTTCTTCTTCTTCTTCTTCTTCTTCTTCTTCTTCTTGTGCAGGTCGCCAGCGTGGAGCACAGCTATGGTGCCCAGGTCAGTACCGCTGACGCAGGTATGGCCTCCGCCCCTCTTCTTCTCCTTCTTGTGGTTGTTGTTGTTGTTGTTGTTGTTGTTGTTGTTGTTGTTGTTGTTGTTGTTACTGTTGTTGTTCTTGCTTGTTGTTGTTGTTGTTGTTGTTGTTGTTGTGCAGGTCGCCTTGGAGCACGGCTATGGCGCCGAGGCAAATACCGCTGACGCAGGTACGGCCTCCGCTCCTCCTCTTCTTATTCTTCTTCTTTTGTCTCTTCGTCTTCTTCTTCGACTTCTCCTTCTTCTTCTTCTTCTTCTACTTCTTCTTCTTCTTGTGGCTGTTGTTGTTGTTTTTGTTGTTGTTGTTGTAACTGCTGTTGTTGTTGTTGCTGTTGTTGTTGTTGTTGTTGTTGTTGTTGTTGTTGTGCAGGTCGCCAGCATGGAGCATGGCTATGGCGCCAGGTAAGTACCGCTGTCGCAGGTATGGCTTCCGCCCATCTTGTTGTTGTTGTTGTTGTTGTTGTTGTTGTTGTTGTTGTTGTGGCTGTTGTTGTGCAGGTCGCCAGCATGGAACACGGCTATGGTGCCCAGGTATGTACCGCTGACGCAGGTACGCCCTCCGTCCCTCTTCATCTTCTTCCTCTTCCTCTTGTGGTTGTTGTTGTTGTTGTTGTTGTGGTTGTTGTTGTTATCATTGTTGTTATTGTTGTTGCTGTTGTTGTTGGTGTTGTTCTGCAGTTCGCCAGTGTGGAGCACGGCTTTGGCTCCTAGGAAAGTACCACTGACGCAGGTATGGCTTCCACCCCTCTTCTTCTTCTTCTTCTTCTTCTTCTTCTTCTTCTTCTTCTTCTTCTTCTTCTTCTTCTTAAGCGGGTGGCCAGCGTGGAGCACAGCTATGGCGCCCAGGTAAGTACCGCTGACGCAGGTACGGCCTCTGCCCCTCTTCTTCTTCTTCTTCTTCTTCTTCTTCTTCTTGTGGTTGTTGTTGTTGTTGTTGTTGTTGTTGTTGTTGTTGTTGTTGTTGTTGTTGTTGTTAGCACGACTATGGCGCACAGGTACGTACCGCTGACGCAGGTATGGCCTCCACCCCTCTTCTCCTTCTTCTTCTTCCTCCTGTTGTTATTGTTGTTGTTGTTGTCGTTGTTGTTGTTGTTGTTGTTGTTGTTGTTGTTGTTGTTGTTGTTGTTGTTGTTGTGCTGCAGGTCGCCAGCGTTGAGCGCGCAGGTAAGTACCGCTTCCGCATCTTTCCTTCTTCTTCTTCTTCTTCTTCTTCTTCTTCTTCTTCTTCTTCTTCTTCTTCCTCTTCTTGCTGTTGTTGTGCAGGTCGCCAGCATGGAGCACGATTATGGCGCCCAGGTAAGTACCGCTGACGCAGGTATGGCCTCCGCACCTCTTCTTCTTCTTCTTCTTCTTCTTCTTGCTGTTGTTGTTGTTGTTGTTGTGCAGGTCGCCAGCGTAGAGCACGGCTATGGCTCACAGGT